CAATTCTTCCCCTATCCAGCAGCACAGCAGATGTTTCACTTGGGTGCGCTTGGGCTGTCCTCACACACATAGACCCCTCGTTATATCAGCTTGAGGCCAGAGGGTAACAAATACACATCCCTCTTTTCCCATCTCCTGTTCAAGATGGAAGTGCTCCTGCAAGCTATACCCCACCCCAAGGAGTGCTTTTCTGAAGCTGCTAGCTACAGAGCCAAGTCCAGTTTAGCAAAGTCATGTTCCAACAACATCTCTGTTGTCTGACACACGCAACCAATTCAGGGTTGGGTAAAGCTGACTAGCCAACCCATAGTTGCCTGGGCTGGGATGCCTACATCTGCACAACTGGCATCTCTGAACATTTTTGTTTCCCCCTGCTTTGATACAAAATTCAGTAAACTGAGCGAAGTTTAGCCTGGGCAACAAGGATGATTGGTGGTACGGAGAAGCTTCCATATGAGAAAAGACTAAAGAAGCTAAGCGTATTTAGTTTAGAAAAGAGAGACTTATGCGGGGGAGATAATGGTTTACAAAATACTAAATGGTGAGGAAAAAGTAAATACATACTTTCTTTTGCAATACACATGCACCCAGGCCTCCTCATACACTCCACCCCAGCATACTCACACACACCCAATACTGTCCTGCACACCCCACACCCCAACCACACACCCCACCATATACATCCCACACACACCCACACACCCAGACCTGCACCATACCCAACCCTCACACCCCCCATACCCAAACACACCCCACACCTGAAGCACACATGCACCCCACACCCCTTACACACCTCACACCCACACATGTCCCCTCACCCATACACCCACCCACATCCCCTCACACACCCACATCCAACAGTCCCACACACCCCCACATCCCAAACCACACATCCCACACCCTCACACACATCTACCTATATCCCCCACAAACCCCATTTGCAACATACCCACACATGCCCAGCAGTCCTACACATGCCACACACACTCCACACCCATGCATACACCCCTCACACCCCTCCTACACACCCACACCATACCCATACCCCACACCCCCCCAACCACATACTATCCCAACCTCACACATCCCCCTACCCCTCCACATATAATATACAAGCAACCCCCCAAAGGAGTACTTCCTGGGCAAGGGAAGAGACTTCTAGTTGCAAAGGTCAGGGGTTAGGGGGCAGGACTTCCGATCACAAGATCACAACCAGGAGGCTGGACACCTGTCAAGAGTCTGAGCTATCCTTGTGGCCCTTGATGCCTCACCTAAACTCATTAAGTGGCCCTCCATCCAAAATAATTGCCCACCCCTGGTATAGCATCTTTGTTACTGCACCATCATTTAGTACTTTTTTTCATAGACATTAGGGCCGGAAGGGACCTCGGAAGATCATCGAGTCCAGCCCCCTGCCCAAAGGGCAGGAAGTCAGCTGGGGTCATAGGATCCCAGCAAGATAAGCATCCAGTTTCATCTTGAAGGTGTTCAATGTAGGCGCTTGAACCACCTCCGGTGGCAGGCTGTTCCAGACCTTGGGGGCTCAGACAGTAAAGAAGTTCTTCCTTATGTTCAGCGTGAAACGATCTTGAAGTAGTTTGTGACCATTCGACCTCGTCATCCCTTGGGGCGCTCTGGTGAACAAATGTTCCCCCAGATACTGGTGGTCACCCCTGATAAACTTGTAGGTGGCCATCAGATCACTCCTGAGCCTGCGCTTTTCCAGGCTAAAGAGCCCCAGGGCTCTCAGCCTGTCATCGTAGGGTCTGCTTCCCTGACCTCTGATCATGCGCGTGGCTCTTCTCTGGACTCTCTCAAGCTTCTCCACATCCTTTTTGAATTGTGGAGCCCAAAACTGGACACAGTACTCCAGCTCCGGCCTCACTAAGGCCGAGTACAGGGGGAGAATGACGTCCCGGGATTTGCTTGAGAGACGTCCCGGGATTTGCTTGAGACGTCCCGGGATTTGCTTGAGATCATCGAGTCTGACCCCCTGCATAGGCAGGGAAGAGTGCTGGGTG